CATAGATCTTTATTGCATACTTGGAATACTTTGACTTTGAGTCAATTGTGACTTTGCTTTGTTTGTCTGCATAACAGTTCAATAGCACATGAAATTATGATAGTTATTCGTCGGATGCCAGCTCGTAAATCTTGCAGCCACAATGTCTGCTTGATTTGTCCAACATAAAGGCCATTCTGCTGGCCGTCCATTAACTTTTATGTCTCACTGTGTGTGCGTGTGTGTGTGTGTTCTTTTTCAAATAGCAAACAAAAAAAATGAAAAGAAATTTAATGATTGGCCGGCGGGTCGTTGACAGGACGCACACAGTGCAAAGGTTTCAGCGATTTCTTTGTTCTCGCCGCTGACAACAATCGCCACCGTCGTCTGACCTTAGCTGCAACTTTAACCCATTTAAAAATATAAACCAGTAGCTGTTAACCCCGAGGCCAGTGATTTGCTTTTTATTTTTAAGACCGGACGGTAAAAGTAGCTTAAAAGCTTTGTAGCTCCAAGATATGTGCTCTGTTTAGAAAGATTTTATGATATATATGCGAGCTTAGAACTAATGTTGAGCTTGTGCTTGTTTAAACTAAATTTTAATATAATTGCAGTTTCTATAGTAGAATTTATATATATAAAAATTCTTGATAAAAATATAAAGTCTCTACTGGAATTCTTGGGTAAAAATCAGTTTATTTCAGGTTACAAAACCTCAGTCTAAGCATAGGTAACTAATTTAGCATAGCTTTCTTTAGATTAGAAAGGACAGAGAACAAGAATCATATTCATAAGTAGACTAACTTTAAGAGAATCGCATGGAATCGCATTTTCTGCAGCTCCTTGGTCTGTTCGACATTGCTTCACTACGTATTCCTAGTAGATTCTCTAAGTTCCAGTTTAGACCAGGCAAGGTCATTAGTTCCACTGCTTGCTCTGATTCTTGGGAATCGCATAGTAAGGTGCATTTCATCTGTAGCATCCTCCCCGTTGCACAGTCGCTCGGTAACTCAATAAACCCTTTCTATCAACCCACTTATCTATGCATCTGCATTCACACCACACAGACAAACCCTAATACACACATTTGTTCTTCATCTTCCTCAACTCATTTAGTCGGCAAGCAATGCTGGCAATCAGCCAGCACAAATGACTTAATAATCATTTGCATATATATAGATTAAGAATTCCATCGCAGCTTTAATTGTTTTCGATCAAAGAATCGCTTAAAAAGCAGCGCGTAAAGCTTGGCTCTGGAAATTTTGCACGTCGCAGGGTCTGCGGCACGCATCATTAACCAAATATTGCATTTTTCAATATAGCAGAGCGCGTGGCTGCAACAGGCCCCCCCTTGTCACCCTCTCCTACACTCTGAGAGAGAAAGAGAGAGAGAGAGAGACAGAGAGAGATTCCTGTCGATTCCCTTCGCTTATTGCCACGTTTGGCATGTAAAATCCACACGGCCAATCAAACGCGCGCAGGCCAAGGGTCAGGCTAAGGGCTCCTGGGTGACTGCGGGGTGGGCAGCGAGGGGTGTCACATGAGTAACTGATGCGCATCAATATGCTGCTGCATAGCTTGGCGTTTCAGTACCCTTGCTGCTGCTCCTGCTACTCCTGCTGCTCCTGCTGCTCCTGCTGCATGTGCATGTCAAAGTAATGGACGAAAACGAAAATTCAGGCATACGCAGCAAACCGCCAACAGACGGGCGAGCCGGGTGAGTCGGGCCAGCCGGGCAAACCAGGCAAACCAGGCAAAGCAGGCAAAGCCGGCAAACCCAGCCAACCGCCAGCAGCAGGCAACGGCTGTCAGATGTGGGTGGTTTGCTGTGGTGCGTGTGTGGGTGTGGGTTGTCTGCGGTGTCTCTGCAGAGTGAATGACTTTTGCGCCTGGCATTTAAATGAAGGCGCAGCTTAAATGGATTTTGGGCCAACACACACACACACACACACACATACACATACATGCTGTATGCGTGTGTGGAGTCTATGGTTATCTTTAGTTAATGCCTTGAGCCATGCCTGGCCAAATCGTTCTGACGTGTTTCGCTGTCAGCTCAATTTGAATTTTTCAGCGACGAAATTATATATTTAAACCAAATTAAATTGCACCTACATATATCTCACTGGAGATTCACTTTACCTGAAATTTCACATATTTGGTTAACTTATTTAATTGCCCCCAATTAGCCGCTGCGTTTGTTGCGCCCATTTGCATGCCACTAATTGAGTTGTGCCCCAAACAGACGTTGCACTTAGTCTACTCAACTTTACCCTGCTGGCTGTCCCTCTCCCTCTCCCTCTCTCTCTCTCTATCTCTCTCTCTCTTTCTGTTCTGTCTACCATTAATGAAGAATACTTTTTGTAATTAAATAATAATTTTCTGCTTTGTCTCGCTTTATGGCGCTGCGTAGATAACGACTACCTTGGCTCACTTTTTGCAGAGTTCACAAACATTGCCACGCCCACTGACATATATGCAGATACATAGTCAAGTGTCTCTCATTGTTATTCATTTGGCTGGCACAGCATCTGGCAGGAGTAGACTAAATATTTCATTGCCTAAATTCAAATATTTAAAAAAAAAAAAAAAAAAAAATCATTCACATTCGAACAAATCTAAACATAGATTGCGTTAAATAAGAAAGCTATTTTTATTTTTCAATTAAACACGTAAATAAATATTAAAAGCAAATGAAAATCAACATTTTTTATCTTCTGGCTTTAAATGTTTTTTATTTTTAATTGCCAAAATCGAGCGAAAATATTTACTCGAATTGTTATTCTATTTTATTGTGCTATTTTAGTTTAAGCTAGCATCAAAATTGTCTCTCTCTTTCTCTCTCTCTCTCGCTCTCTCTTTCTACCTTATCGAATGTTGCATGGCTGCACTTTGGTTTGTCAGCAAAATTTACTCTTTTGTCGAAAACTAAATGTTAAATCTGCATGAATATATATATGCATATACATACATATATATATATATATATATATATTTATGTTTATACATGTGTGTACGTACATATTTTTTATTGTGTACTCTATTTGCATTTTTGTCTCTGCTCTAATGCCCTGTAAACAATTTGAGCGTATGGATTAGGCTCTATTCAACTATCCATAGATTCAAATTTTAAATTTTATTTATAGAAAAAAAATAAAATAAAAAATACAAATACAAATTTCACAATTGCAGCAAAAAATATGCAAATCGAATAAAGTTGGTTATGTATCTGGCTACAATAATACTAATTTCCAGCCAGGGTATTTGCCAGTCAGGCATACTCCATTAGTGGCCGCTCGTGAGGTGTGAGCCAAGCGAATGTCGTGTGCTGTTAGCTGGCGATTCCCAGCTCCATTGGACGCACTGAAATTCCATTTGTGCTCCCTGTGTGGCCATCAAATGTAGTGCGTCCTGCCGTATCCTGGCGTGTCCTGCCGCATTCTATCGGTTGTATTTGCATATCTGAAGGCACTTGGAGCTGGGACTTTAGCATGACTTTAGTTGGATTTTATTTGGTTCAGTGGCAGTTGTTGCTCCTGCTGCTGCTCCTGCTGCCCTGAGGCAAACACAAAGTAAATATTTGAGCTGCCACTTGATTGGCCAAAGTGCCACAAAGTGCAACAAAATGGTGCAAGATGCAGGCGAGCATAATGCAGCTCGCATGCAGCACGTTCAATGCATAAATCAATTATGGCAATTATTTCATATTTGAAAACAAACTGAAAACTGAAAGCGGAAAATGGAAAACGGCAAACGGAAAACTGAAAAGCAACAGCAAACGCAACAATAATTGAATTTAACTTAAGCTCTGCATTGCCCCACTCCCACCTCTCCACACTCCAATTGCCTGCCCCCACGTGCCCCATCCACCTGCCTCCCATTGAAATGCTACCAAAAATAACCGCAGCCAACGCACAAGCACATAAATCACGTATACGCAATGTGCCACGCACTCAACAAACCTAATTGTTGTTGTTGTTCGCCCGTTCACTCATTCCGTTCACTCGATGCCAAAGCAAACGCTTTTCTCTGCAGCCCCCTAGGCTCAGGCTCTCACTCTGACTCTGACTCTGACTCTGGCTGGCAGCTCAGTAGCTCTCGATGATAAATCGAATTCGATTGCTTTGGCATAACTCATGCGATTAGAAACTCGGCGCTATTAGCGCGCTAAGCCACAATGACACGAGCTGCTGCGGCTTAGGTTTAAGATTCTACTGAACAATTTTATTTCCTTTTCTGCTCTTGGTTTTATATGACTTTTTTTTTTGCTGGTATAATTTCTTAAGTGATTCAATACTGAATTTATATTTCAAAATTAATTTTTTAAGATTGATTTATTTATTATTATTATTTTTATTATTATTATTATTATTTTTATTATTATTAATTTTTATTATTATTATTATTATTATTTTTTAATTAATTATTTAAATTTTATTTTATTTATTATCTACTCTTCTTTTTCTCTTGTTAACACATTCGTTGACATATTAGTTAAGTATCGATAAAACTATGGTTAAGTATCGATAGTTAACTAAAGTGCTTAAAAGCTTTTTGAGCTGCATTTAAAATCCAAGTAAGCTATGAAAAAGCTTTATAAAAGCTCATACATCTGCCTTCAAGGCTGACTTGCAATAAAGTTTTTTTCTTAAATTGTTATTAAGCTGCTTTAAACATAGATTTATGATGATGGCAAGGGAAATTTTAAGTTGCGGGCTCTCTCAGGTGCAACGATTAGACAGCTTGATGCTTAAGTGTGCATTAGTAAATGGCTTAAAGCCGCTTATACACACTCTCTCTCTCTCCCTCTCCCTCTCAGTACAAGAAAATCCTTAAGCTTAGCTATCAAATAAAACATTTGAAACTCCGCAAGCTGCTGGAGCTGTATTTGGTTTACCTTCGCTGGCAATTGGATTTAAATATTTGCAGCGAGTGTAATATTTAGATTAAATTGAAAGATAACCGGCTGGAGATAAACTATGTATAAAACGCATTTGCATTTGCTCTCGTTGTGTTTGCAGGAAGCTTATCGTCGCTGGGTCTGCAGCACGCTGGTGCCGTATTTCGCTGAGCCGCAGGATGTGGATGCAGCGCCAAAGCCGACGTCGACGGCGACGCCGATGCCAACGTCAGCGGCAAACGATGAACTCGCCATGCCGCGAGGGTCAGCTGCAAAGACAATGCCCGCGGGCAAAAGTAAGCGTGCGGCACGAACTGTGAGCGCAGCAGCAGGAGGAGGAGGAGGAGGAGGAGGCGGAGCTGGAGGAGGAGCTGCCGCTGCTGCTGCCGCCGCTGCTGCTGTTGGTGGCACGGGCAATGGCATCAAGCATAAATCTCAGAAATTAATCAGCAATAACAATAAATCAAATAACGGCAATAACATGAACGAGCGTCAGATTAATCAACAGCATGACGAGGACAATGAGCCCCGCATTGAGCCGCAAACAAAGCTCTCGACGTTCTACGATGTCGTTGGCGTTGGCCATGCCCAGACGCTAGCCCACGCCCAAGTTCCGGCCCCAGTTCACAGTCAGTTCCAGTTCCAGTTACACAACAACAACAGCAACAGCAACAGCAACAGCCATAGCCGAGCTGCCACGGCTCAGCGCGAGGAGGAAGAAGAACAATTCAATAATTTCATATCGACTGCCAATAATGCGGATCCCAGTGCAGCGGATCCAGTGATATCAAAACTACAAAAGAGGTTGCTTAAATCACATATATTGATCGACTTGCATATACCCTATAATAACATACTTTCTCTCTATCTCTCTCTTTATCTGGCTCGCTCGCTTAGATCAACACGCAAGGCAGAGTTCCGCAAACGCCGTAGGATTCGACCCTGCCTTAGCGTCTGCCAAACCGTCGAACAAAAGTGCCCCTATCTGCTGCCCGCCGACCGCGCCCCCGCGCTCCCCACCCAATATGCCGGCGAGCCGACATTCGTATGCCTAGGTAAGCTGTAAGCTATTTATATTGTAAATATTTATTTGGTTTCAGGTTTCAGGACAATTTACAAAAAAAAAAAATATTGTTTAATTAAAAAAAAATTTTTTTTTAAATGGAATTTTTAAAAAAGTAATTTCTCCTAATTTTTAATAATTATCAAAAATTTATTTATTTATTTATTTTTTATTTTATTTATTTTTATTAGAACTGAGTTAAAAATACTTTTTTTTATTCTTATAAAATTTGAATGAATCGTTTTTCGTATAGCTAGACAGCTATCTAGCGGTCTGTTTTCAATTCTGAATCAGAACTGGAATCAGAAATAGAGAACTTGTAGATTCCTTTTGCAATTCAATTCTTTTGATATACATTTTGCTTGGGGCGTTAAAAGTTAAACTGAAATCAAATCAGTTTTTCTTTTCTCTCTCTCTCTTTTCTATTGGCCATATATTTAATACAAGGCCAAGTGGACCGAAACGTGAACTGACGCGTGAACCGAAACGTGAACTGAAACGTGAATCGACGCATGAACTGAAACGTGAAACGCGAATTGCAAATAATAAAGTTTATCTTAATTCCAATTTTTGCGTAAAAATACTTAAATTAATTCTAAAACAAAAGGTCGATGGCTATGAAATTTTTACATTTAACTTGGACATTTACATCTCTTATTTGTTGAAGCATAATTGACAGATATACATTTTACATATTTTTTACAATATTTACAATACTTTTATTTGTCATTTATTTATAAAGATAATTATTTAAAATATATTTTGTATTTAAATTCTTTAATTTCTTAATATAAAAATTCTTTTACTACTATATTTTTAAGTAATATATGAATATATGCTATGGGTACATGTGTACTTTATATAGATATATCTGCACATATATATCTATAAAACTCTCTAGAGCTCCATCGCTTGACCTATTCCGCTGCCCTTGCAGATCAAAATATACCGGAGACTGGAGAACAGCTGAAGAAGTCGAGCTACGGCCCCAACGACTGCTGCTACAGCTACTGCAACGGACCCACTGAGGGCATCTGCACCATCTGCCCGGACTTTGCGCCCGCCTTCGGCTCCCCCCACGGCAACAGAAGCAGCAGCAGCAGCAACTCGAGCTCAAGCGGTCATCGGGTGCACAACATCACGTTGACGCTGAGCTCCCCGGCGGGGGAGCATGCGCGTGCTGCGAGCGTCTCGCTGGCCTTGCGGAACATCTCGCGGACGAAGGGGGAGCAGGGAGCTGGCTGGCTGCTGGAGCAGCTGCCGTATTATGTGAACTACGAGAGCGTCTACTACTATGACGACGATGACGAGGGCAGCGAGATGCCGGAGCGAGCGCTGTCCGGCGGCTGTGCGGCGGTGCCGTCAGTGACAAGCCGCTGTGATATACCCTATTATGCATCCGGTGTGGCGCCGACGCCGCCGACGCAGCTGCTTGTCTGGCTGAGCGCGCTGCTCGGTCTGTTGAGCAGCTGTGGCGCTGGGGCGGCGCGACAGCGTTGCAGTGGGCGTGCCCAGAGGGCGGCCGCGGCAGCGGCAACGGCAGCAACAGCGGTCGCAGTTGCGGAACGTGTGGACTCGTGTCCGGGCAGCTGCCATGAGCTGTTAGCGAACAGTCCAAGTCCAAGTCCGAGTCCAAGTTCGAGAAAGCGAGACGGAAATGGAGCCGGAAGCGGAAGAGGAAGGGGAAGGGGAAGAGGAAGGGGAATCGGAGCCGGAAGTGCAAGCTTCACTGCCACACACAACAGACACAAATGGGCGTGGCCATGGGAATGGGCATGGGCATGGTCGGGGGCATGGGCATGGGCATGGTCATGGCTGTGGGCATGGTCATGGCTATGGTCATGGCTATCGATGAAATGCCGCCAAGTGCGTTATCTACGCGTATCGCGAGACCGTAGTCGTATAATTAACTATAAACACATACAGCTGCAGCTGCAGCCACAGATACGAAACAGACGTTGCACGAGCGATAGGAATAGATATGATAGAAATTACCGTTACATCTACTATTACAACTACAACATCAACGATTGGTGGCGGAGATGGAAGTGGTTAGGCAGCGATGGTCGAACGGTGACCATCATCTCAAAGGGCGCCTTATAGTGCACAGAGAAATACTTACCCACACACACACACACACACACGTATACACAGAGCAAAACACATTGCGAATTTTCACAGAGATTTGCAGTTCAGCAAAAATGAAGAAAAACAAATGAAAAGAAACCCCCAAAGGAAAAAAAAAAAAAAAAATGTCATTAATTGTATTTCGTACTCTAGAAAATTACTCGTAATGCTAGCTAATTAAAAAAAAAAAAAAAAAATCAAGTTGAGTGTAAAAAAAAAAAAAAAATAAGAAAATAACAAAGAAAATTTGCAGGTCGTTTCGCCTGCCAATTTGTTTTGAAACGGAAAATTCAATGAGAGAAAATGATAAATGGGCAAGGAAATTGAAAATGGAAAATGTAAGGAAAAAGGCAAACAAAAACACTTTAAATATTTATGGTCCTCTTTCAAATGAAAAATATAAAAAAATATATATATATATGAAAGTAAATAAATTATAAATCTCTATTGAAAAAAACCTTTAAAAAAAAAACAACAACAAATAGCATATTTTATTACAACTAGAAACAAAGAATATTAATATTTAATTAAACAAAAAACAACTGCCACAAAAATAGGTTTTTTAGGTAAACATTAAACGAAAATAAACCAAAACAAAAAAAAAAATCACATTTAACAAAAGTATATTGAAGAAGAAGAGAGAGAAAACCCAAAAGAGGAATACATAAATAAACATAGCTATAAACTTAAATAAAGGCGGATAAAACATAAATTTAAAAACAAAACAAAAAATATTTTAGGCTAGCTAAGTATAACGAAAAAACAACAACAGAAAAACACAAAACACGAAATGAAATTTAGACTAAAAAATAAATAAAACATAAAACACAGCTCGCAAAACAATTAGCAAAAACAAATAACTAAAATAAAAATATTAAAAGAAAATAAAGATAATACCAAAAAATCTGTTCAAACACACATTTCACCGAAGATACATGAAACATATAGACCGCTTATCAAATTAATTTCAAGACATTTAAAGAAAACAAAAAAAAACGAAAAGAAAAACCAAAATGAAAACTTTGCTTAAAACAAAAATTAGTTTAACAAACAAAAACAAAACGAAATCAAATATTATAACATAGTCGAAAATAAAGAGGGAAAGGAAACGAAACAAGTTAGCAGAAACGAAGAAAGCGAGGAACTTGAAGAAGTAACAGAGGAAGAGAGGGAGGAAGCAGAACAAGTAACAACCAACAATGTGTCTAAGATTGTCTTTATTTAGTTTTTAAACATAAACTTTGTATAACCAAAAAAAAAAAAAAGAAGAAAAAAAAAACAATATAAAGCGCACAGTAAATTTAAATTTTAAGGTTCATATACAGCATAGAAGAAGAGAGAAGCAAAGAGAGAAGCAGCAGCAAAGGCGTACAATTATAAATGAGTTTTTAGGGCAAGTAACTGAGGTAAAGCCTAGGCATATACATATATATATATATAGTATGCAGAAGCCGAGAGAAGCAAAAGAGAAGTAACAGCAACAACAACATACCTACTATATATAAATAGTGCATACAAATAATAATAATAATGATAATGAATAAAATTAAATTTAAAAAAAATAATAATAATAAAGTAAATAATAATAATTTTTGTAATAAAGTTAACTCTATGTAGCGTACATAAAATAACAAGAGAATACACATAAAAAATAAACGTAAATATATATATTATATATATTTATAATTAACAATTTATCGTACATACACAAATTAAAACTATAGGCAAACAATAAAAAACAAAAAGAAAAATAAAGAAATTATAATATATAAGTATTATATATATGTATGTATATACATACATATATGAGAATAATTAGTTACTAAATGAAAGAAAAGTTAGATGTATTTGGTATTAACTAATTGCCTATTGAATTAAGCATATACCACCAAAAGAAAAACAAAACATGACTCGACTCGACTCTCAACTCAACTCAACTCAACTTTCAGCTCCGATCTATAAACACTTTCCTAACCCACGAATCTCTCACGTTTACTATTCATCTTTGTCAAAAGCACGCTCTATTTAGCTTTCAATATAATTTCTGTTTAAAGGTTAAGGCACTGCAGGCAGTACTGAGAACCCAAAACTTTCTTTCGACAAAACATTGTTATCGAACAACTGACGCATTACTTTAAGCAAATACAAAGTATCTCTGTTCCCTTTAACAGCACATTAAGTGTGGCATGTTAGGTGTTGTTGTAGTTAACAAAACTGTAAGAAGTAGTTACCTAAAGACGATTAAATATATATATGTATACACAGCACTAGCTGAAAGTTGCACTTGAACTATGAATTAGTCCAGTTAAGCTACTTAATTTCCAAAAGTTTCTACTGAGGAGAGCGGTTCACGCTTTTCAGCGACTTTTTCTTTAAAAGTTTTTTATATGTCAGATTAACTGAAACAGTGGATTAATCCAGTAAAACTTTCAATTAACTATGTTTTCAGTTCATTTTCGAAACTTATTAATGAGGGATAGCAAAATAAATTGCCACTACATTAAATGAGCTTCCATTAGAAAGCTCTTTTTACTATTGATATGACGAACTTTTCATTTGAAAGCACATTAAAGTTAGACTAAAAGCTTTTTTACTTTTTCAAATTCTATTCAATATTTTTCACGACTTTCAATTAATGAGTCTTACTTTGCATTGAAAGCACATTTGACCAAAAATCTATTTTCTCTCTTAATAATTTAATTTCTGGATTATTCTTATGTAGAAATGATCTTTCATAATTCCCTTTCCGCTTTCAGCTAGTGTCATAAATTGATTCTAAAGTTCATTATGGAAACTTAAGCTTTTCTCGTTCCCACCTGAGCTAAAACGGCTTTCACTTCAAATTTCCATATCACTTCTCCCCACAAGCTAAAGAGAAACCTGCGATTTGCCTTTGTAAATACACAGACACACACACGCATACTTACATCGTTACACACTCGCACACACTCACACTCACTGCTGAAGAAGAATTTCGAGTTTTCGTATCTGTTCTTGACTTTGATTTCTAAGAGTTCTTTTTCCGTAGACTTTTGTTGTTTGTCCTTCAATAATTGAGATAGATATAAACGAGATATTTACATAGGCCCGATTTTCGTGTGAATTTCCAATTAAATGTGAAATTAATAAAATAAAAACAAAAAAATAAAAAAAAATAAATGGGGGAAATAGAGAGGAAAATAAAACAAAGGAAACCATTTCAAAGCGATAGCCGCTGGCACAAATTGCGCGCATATGCAAATTGTTATGAATTATTGTGTACTTTTGTAAAACTTTTTGATATATATAATATAGTTAACATGAATAGATGCCTAAATAATAAATTAAATGTTAATTTATTTAAATGTAAACAATAAAGAAACGGAAAGCGAGAGAAAATGCTAAAATATCTTCAACTAGTTGAAAATGGTAAATCGATAATGATGATGATGATGATGATAGTGTTATTTAACGATATTACGTATATAATATATATATATATGGTATCTGGGTATACGGATCGAGCATGAAATTACTTTACAGCAAAAACATTTACATTCAAAGTTTTGTGTACAAAAACAACAAAAACAAAAAAGAAAAACATTTTTGGACATTTCATACTCTCGTAATGTTAAAGCTCATATGCGAATACTTGAAACCCAATGAAAAACCCAAAAAAAAAAAAATCGAAAATCGAAATCAATACAAATAATTAGCACGAAAAAATATTATAAATAATAATAATAATAACAATGAAAATCGAGTATAAAAAATATATACAATAATTTTTGTAAACTCTCAGCTGCTGCAACAACAACAACAACAAAAGGCAGCTGAGCAAAGGAAAACAACAACAAGAAGTCAAATGATAAAATGATAAAAAAAAAAAAAAATGTTATGGCAAGGTAGCAATTATTTTTTACAAAAGCAAAGAAAAAAACCCAAAAAAAAAATTATATATATAAACTATTTAATGTATGTAAAATTAAAAACAAAAATAATGAAAATGAGGAAAAATTTTAACATGAGGAAAAAACAAAAACAAAAAAAAAAAAAAAAAAAAAAAAAACACAAAATTCTTTTTAGGCCACCCAAAAAAAAAAAAAAAAGAAGGAAATATTACATAATTTATGTGCCAAGCGAGAGAAAATTATTTCATGTATCGTATTTGATATCAACAACAAAGCGAGCACAAAAAAATAAAATTAAATGAAAAACAAATTATAAATAAATTAAAAACAAAAACAAAATAAGAAAATAAAACTCATGTCACAGGAAATAAAAATAAACAAAAATTGAAAACATGTCAAATACACTTAGCAAAAGCATTTTGAATGTGCGTGTGCAGAGACCCAGATCCTGGATGCCCACACCCCCAACAGTCTCCCCTCACATCCCCCCAAGAGCCTCACCCAAACTCGCTCCAGATGCCAACGGACATTCAAAGTTTGTTAGTTAATTAATGAAAATGAGAACTTATTAAGAAAACAGCTAAGAACTTTAAAAACTCAAACTGAAATCTTCTGTACTTGTTAATTAACAGCAACAACAACAACAAAGCCACATAGAGAACAAATATATAAAAAAAGAAAAGTTAAATTGAAAACAAAATAAAAACTTTAACTATAAACCGAATTATAAAACTGAGCAAACTTTTCGTAAAACAAAAATACTTGATTCCCAGTCGAAACGATTTACTTAAGTCTAAAAAAAAAAATAATAATAATTAATAAATAATAATAGCAGAAACTATGTTATAATACTACTAATAATAATAATAATTATAATATGACACATAAATTGAAGATAAAACAAGATGAAAGAAGAGGACAACTGGCATAATTATGGTAATTGTAAAATAATTAAACAATGACGTAAACGTGAAAAACAAAAACAAAAAGAAAAAAAAAACAAGTGAAAATAATAAAAATAAATTGTTGTTATTGAATGTATTTGTATAGAAAATTATTATGATTATGACGATGAATAATAAATGATTACAAATAATAATTATTGTTCAAAAGATAAAAACAAAAAAGAGAAAAGCCAAAAAAAAAAAAAGCAAACAAACAAACATAAAACCACAAAACCAAAAACCGAAAAACCAAAACAAAACAAAATAATATATATACATATATATATGAGAATAATGTTTCTGGCTTCATTTTTATTCAATTTTTGACAGCGAACCGACATCCGTCGTAAGAGTCATGAAAACTTTCGAACTGCTTGATGGAGCTTTTAAGTCGTTAGGATTGCAGTGTTGAATATTAAAGCTTAGCTCAGCTAAAATTGAAGTGCAAGTTAAGCTAAAGCTTCTGCGTGAGCTTGAGTACAGCTCAGAGCTAAATAACTTAATGCTATCTTCTGTTAGCTTTTGGATTGATGCGAAGTTTCTGAACAGCTTGAAAAGTATCTTGAGCAACAATTGATATGACAAAGTTAGATTAATAGAAAGCTCAACTTAAAAAGCTGCTGAAATCAAATGTGAAATACTAAATATTGCAACTAATTTTACTTGACGTCTTGGAGCTTATCAAACTTTTAATCAGGTTTAAATATATCTGGGCTTAGCTTCAGCCTTTAAGACATTTCAAGAAGCTTTTTAAGCGCAAGCTTTGCATAGTAAATGTTGATTAGCTTTTGCTTGTCTACTTTAGGTTATTACAGCATCTTTTGTTGTGCGTTGCTCTAAGACAGGATTAATCTAGTGGCTCGTTTCTTTCCAGCTCGTGTCATTGTGGAAATTTGCTTCACTGACCCGATTGGCAGCAAAATGTGCGATTCAAACTTTCACTTTTTCCTTTTCAGTTATATTTTTTTTTTTTGTGCTTTTGTATATATATCCTTAATGCCAATTTCTGTAGGGGCCACAACAAGCGGACCGTAATTAGACAAGCAGCAGTGGAAGCAACAGCAGCAGCAGCAGCTGCGGCTGAGTCGAGCTCGCTTCGTGTTGCGGCCGAAGCAGCCTGCCGAAGTGCCGGCCATTGGGCCAGGCAGGCAGAGCGAGCAGGTGTTGCCTCTGTGTGGCAGTGGCAGTGGCAGTCGCTGTGACTGTGACTGTGCCGCAGATTCAGATACGTTTCGACACGCGAAAGGGAAAGTTCGTGCAGCGCAGCTACGCAGCCGGCCAAGACATCGACTGTCTGAACGGGCAACTGGCAGCGGCCACATGCCACAGTTGCGTGCCTCATAGCCAAGTCCAAGTGCGTGTGTGTTGGATTGTGTGTAAAAGTGTCCAAATATTTGCATAGGCCACACGGATAAAGGTGCACGCTAACGAGCTGATGGTCAACTGGGCCCCAAAAGGTTTTTACAGCTGCGGTTTATTTTGGCCCGTAAGGCGGTGATGGGAGCTGGGGGCGTGGCACACTCAGTGTACTGTGTGTGTGTGTGTGTGAGTGTGTGTGAGGCAGGCTACGTGTGCGAAAAACTAATTACAAATAACACGACTCGCTTTTAGCCATGTCAGCATCTGCCTCGGCCCTGTGCCCTGAGCGCTGTGCCCCGTGTTAATTATGGCCAACAGCATCAGCTACAAATGCTGCGACTAAGCCGCCACGCCACGCCTCCCACCCACAACAACATAACAAACATTGGGCTACACGGCTTTTTACTTTATTAAAAAAAAAAAAAGTATATGTATATGTATGCTAAACCCGTCGAAACAAAAGGTCAAAATCTAATTGAAATTGACGCGGGAATGTGCCAAACAGCGAGTGACTCGTTCGAGTTAAGCATACATACATATATTTGGCTGTATATATTCAAATATGTAGAGTTACATATGTATATAGTCAAACATATAGTCATAGATATATATATATTTATGACTGTACTGAGAGTAACTTTTTTCGTCTCTAAACTTTTTGATTTTTAGTTTTTAGTTTCAGTTTAGTTTTATTAAAATCTAATTTAGTTTTGGCATATGCAAATATTTTTACTGTTTGGTGTAGAGTTTTTTATGATGGTTACAATATGTCAAAGGGTTTTCCAAAACTACTAACTACTATACTCATGCAATATATATATAATATGAATATAAACTCGGCTGCATATTAGGTTTCTGGATATACATATACATATATAGACTCGTATATGTTTAAATAAGGTATAGGTGCATAGGTTTAGGTCTTGAACTGCCGTTGATAGCTGAGAAGTATTGATAAAGTACAGGCATATAAAAGATGCCCATAGAGTGCTTGCCTGGAACTAAAGGAATATGTAGGTCTCTCATAGTTCATTATTTTTAATTGAATTCCAGTTGACTGACATTAAAGTTTCTTTATCTATAACTTGATTGATTGCTAGGTTACGTCAGTTGTCTCCTCTATTGGGCTTTGCTAGGATCATGAAGTTTTGCAGATGAATCTCTGTTGATCCCCTAACAAATATATCTTTATAGATCTACATATATGGCTTACGCTTGAGGACTGAGCAAATACCAGATAATCAATTCATATATCATATATAAAAGATAAAATTCACATATCTCTTTTTTTGAATACTTTTACATCAGCAGGCAGTCTATAAGGAATCAACCAAATAATACTAACATCATGTTTCCACTCCCTTGAATACCTGTAATGAAACTATTACAACTTTTGTTTACAGCACTCATCAGCAAACGAAACACAATTATCTATATAAACACGGCCACATATCACATTCATTGACTCACTAACGAGCAAGTCAAATCGAAGCTAATTGACTTTATTTAACTTTCAATCGTGACCCTGTACATGTCCCTTGGCTCTCTATATATAGCGAAGTCGATTAGGTTAATTAATTGGCAATCTAAATAAACAATTGCTCAATAAGTTGGCTAAACGTTTGGCCATAAAACGAGCATTAAATAAATAATTGATAAGCCGCAAAGGCCATTAAAAAACAGAACCAGAAGAAGAGGAGGAAAACTCTGCAGCAGTTTGCTAACTCAATTGCCACGCACAGATACAGATACAGATACAGATACAAATGTATCTCGACAGTGAACGTGACTAAAAGAGAATTAAGCAAAAGAAGAAGAAACTCAACTTTGCGTGCAAAATAAAAGTAAAGGAAATGCTTTAAAAATGTTGCATGTGTGGAGCAAAGAAGAAGAACGTGCCACGCTAATCAGTGGCCTGCTGCTTGCTGCATTAATAATTCAATTGGCAGCGGCAGCGACACCGGCGTCGGCGTCGACGTCGCGAGCGTACAAAGCTCAGCGAGTGCACGAACCAATTGAAGAGGCAGCGTATGCTACAGTGGTGAGCAAGGCATTAGTCAAGACGCGCAGTGGTGAGTATGAATGAGTAGCGTGGTGTAATTGAGGGTGACCAAATAAGAGCGAGAGAGAAGTAAATTTTAATAAATTTTAACTGCATAAACTATTTTATTGCTCTAAGCTCTATTTTGAATCTGTATTGCTGTCATTATATATGAAATTGCAATATTATTAAATGGCAAAGATATTTAAATCTTCATCCAGCGAAACGAAGTTTTATCACTCTTGCTTGGTCCCTTTAGAGTAGAGTAGATTAGTGTGGGGCGTTTCTGCTTACACTCCCGTTCACATTTCTAATGACAGCCGCAATGCAGCGCCTGCCGCGCAGCGTTTTTCATGTGCGCTGGAATCCCAATGAGAAATTCATTGTGGAGAGTCGCGAGAGTCCGGCCATCAACTCGTCCAAGCTGGCGCCGCACCCACGCCTGAAGGTGTCCAAGAGCACGAAACTCACGCTCAGCCCCAAGCTCTATCTGTGCCACGACAAGTACTCGAGCGAGTGCCACAATAAGACGGCGTCCTTCCGGCGTCGCATTGTGCAGAGCTTTGAGCGCTCGATGAGCGAATCGCTGAATGATTCGAATCACTACAATGTGGACTACAAGCCCGTCTTTGGCGACAGCTTCGAGGAGCAGTATTATCCCTCGAGCTGCCTGGTCATGGAGGCGGGCGTGCGTGTGCTACGGCGCAAGGATCCGCCGTTCAACAAGCTGCCCTTCGGCCGACTCTTTCCGCGCCAGAAACTCTTCCGCAATGTGAAGAACATCAAGACCTGTGCGATTGTCTCCAGCGCCGGGTCGCTGGCGGGCTCCAAGCTGGGCCGGTTTATAGGTGAGTGTGGTGGCTTCTGATGATTGACTGGTTGACTGATTGATGATTGATGTCTCTTCAACTGCCAGATAGCCACGATATTGTCATGCGCTTCAATAACGCGCCCACCCGCGGCCACGAGGCGGACGTGGGCAGCAAGACGACAATTCGCGTGGTCAATTCACAAGTAAGTCGCTTGCATGGGCCATCAATCCAGGTCAGTCAATGTCAATCGATCGCTTTGCAGGTGGTCACCAAGCCGGAGTTTGATTTCGCTCATGCGCCAATCTTCCGGAACGTCACGATCGCCGCCTGGGATCCCGGCCGTTACAATGGCACCCTCGAGGATTGGCTAACCAGCGCCGACTACGATCTGTTCACCAACTACGAGATCTACAGACGTCGCTACCCCAAGTCGCGCGCCTTTCTCATCGATCCGCACTCCGTGTGGCGACTCTGGCAGAGCCTGCAAATGTTTGCCGGCAATCGAGCCATACGTCGTAATCCTCCCAGTTCCGGTTTCATAGGTGAGTATAACAGGAAACCTCCAACTTAACTGTATCCTAAAGCAGGAGGACAAACTTAACCAATGCCTATCGACTGGCGTAAGGAATTAGAAATTAGAAGAATAAAAATCCTTCAATTGGCTGAGATAGATATAAGACCTTCTCTAAACAAAAACAGCTTGAAGCGCGCCCTATCCCTGCGTATCCTGTCGAGTAATATTTTAAAATGCTTGGCGCCATCAAATCCTCCTTGTGGCTGCTGAGATATAGAACAAACATGCCAAGACGCGTCGTCATGCGTTCACATATGGCCGAGCTGAGGTATTTTAAATTGAGCCAAAACTGCCCTCAAGTGAGCAACTAAAAGTATGCTACACAAATTTTGATTCACCAAATTTTTTGTCTTCTTGCTGCGATTTCTGTTCGTCTGGTATTTCAGCAGAATTTCAATGAAAATCCGTGTCATTTAGTGGGTGTCAGCCATATTTAAAATAAGCAACAACAACAAATATTTGTTTATAATTTTTTATTTATTAAAAATTTTATAATTTTTTTTTTTTTTTTTAAACAAAAAAAATCCTTAAATGTAACGTATATTTATTTAAATTAGAGGGATTTTAAGTAGAGGCAAAGTGCATTTAATATAGCAACTAAAAGTATGCTACACAAATTTTTATTCACCAAATTTTTCGGCTTCTTGCTGCGATTTCTGTTCGCCTGGTATTTCAGCAGAATTTCAATGAAAATCCGTGTCATTTAGTGGGTGTCAGCCATATTTAAAATAAGCAACAACAACAAATATTTGTTTATAATTTTTTATTTATTAAAAATTTTATAATTTTTTTTTTTGTTTAAACAAAAAAAATCCTTAAATGTAACGTATATTTATTTAAATTAGAGGGATTTTAAGTAGAGGCAAAGTGCATTTAATATAGCAACTAAAAGTATGCTACACAAATTTTGATTCACCAAATTTTTCGGCTTCTTGCTGCGATTTCTGTTCGCCTGGTATTTCAGCAGAATTTCAATGTAAATCCGTGCCATTCAGCGAGGGCTGGGAAAACTTTAAAATAAATTATATATTATTATTATTTATATATTATTTATAAATAATTTTATTTATTAAAAATTTTATAGTTTAAACAAATAAATCTTAAATATATATAGTGTATATTTATATTATCTTATATATAATCAGCAGCACAAAAGTATGCAATATTTTTTATTTCGCCATTTTGATTGCTCTTTTCCTGTGCAGCCTAAAAGTATGCAGTGCGCATCATTGATGCTTTTATTCGTTTCTTTTAATTTTTTTTTAATATGTTTTGTCTGTGATTTTTAGCCGTTAAATTTATATATAAAAATCGCATTTTTATTAATAATTAAAGAAGATATAATTATATTTTTATATAAGCTATCAGTTTTGGAAAGTATAATAATTGACACTGAATAAACAATAAGGAATGACCTGAGATCAAAGAGGATATATACATACAATGAGTTCAACGTTTTTTTGGCATATCGTTTTGCATACAGCTTTATCTCAGTTAAATTTATGCTAATTGAGAGACCTCTCTGCCTTTTAAATTTACTAATTGCCTCTTAAATTTGCAATTGTCGAAACCTTTTCTCATATACATGCCTCTTCATTTAAATTCACTGAAATTCTAGGCTTGGCTTTGTTACTTCCGCACTGCCCCCAGGTGGACTTTATAGAGTATGTGCCCTCGACGCGACTCAATGGCCGCTGTCACTACTACAGCAAAGAGGTGAGCAGTCCAGGGGGAAGTTAACTTTAACATATGACAACTCCAACTCAAATTTATTCCAGATGAATTCCGGCTGCACGTTTGGCTCGTGGCATCCGTTGGCTGCCGAGAAGCTGATGGCCTTGGATATGAATGTGGCCGACGATATGTCCGTCTTCCAGTTTGGCATCTTGCGCATCCGCCGGCCGGATAAGCTGCTCTGCGGCTTCAATTTCTTTGGTTACTGATGCCCCAGCGTCCATTTCGTCCTGCAGGATCCGCGGCGTCCAGTGACAATCAAATGTGCATTTAATCAAGCGGTTTTCACACACACACACACACACAAGTTTCAAGTGGCTGCAATGAGTGTGAGTTGCGGCTGCTGTTAGTAAATATTTGCGATCAATAAATAATTTATTTGCCTATACTTGCCTGTGGGGTGTGCCCCAAAGGCGGAAGCGGGAAGACCCTTGGGGCGGGCAGGGCACTGCCATCCACGCCCACGCCCACTTTAGCGCTCTTTATGATGGACAATGGGAGCCAGTTAAGTGCCTGTCGCACTTGATTCTGATTGTTTTCTTATTTGTTTACAGCGATTCTCCAGGGACTTGCAATCAGCTTGGCAGCTCACTTGAGTTGAACGACCTGCAGTTACCCTATAAAAATAAATTGAAACTGATAAGTGAGTTTCTAGTTGAAAGCTTAGAGTTGATGTGAAAGTAATTACCATGACTAGACGAATAGATACCCTATAAACATGTCTATATCACTTAGAACATAGATTCCATTAAAGTAGATTCATAATTTAACAAAAGTTAGAAGAGGTTGTTATGGTAGTGTTGGTTAGAAGATACCCTGTGAATATAACTTTTTTCAATAAAAATGATAAGATACCCTGTAAAGCAATTAATGCATAATTCGCAAACAGCTAGCGCTGCTAAGCATACCCCACACACTTCAAGTGCAGGGTATTCCGTTGAGTGCTGCATGCTTCAACCATTAAATGCCATAACTGTTGTCTACAGAGCGAAATTATATATATTGTATATGTATACAAAATTATTGTCAAGGGGGCGCAAAAGATACAGAAACAGTGGAGTTTATGGATTTAAGGGGCGTGGCAATGAGGAGGGATGTGGGAGGTGCTGAAGAGGCATTGCTCATTAATACGTGCTGCGGCAGCGGAAACGTGACCGGCATTCAAAACAGAATACCCAGACTCAGACCGAGAAGAGACCAAGCAGCAGGCCCACGAAAAACAAAAATAAAATAAATAAACAGACGAAGAGCAGCAGCAGCAGCTCACCGAAAAAGGTGGGGAAAAATGAAGACGAAAAATGACGACGGCACTCGAGGTAAACGCGGCGTATGCGCGATATTTGCGAATTAAATGGAATACACGAGTACGCGACCAAATAAAAAACAAAAAGCAAAACACAAAATGTACAAAGATGAAAATTGACATTAAAGCAAACAACGCATTGAACCAGGAAACCGCAAGCCAGGCAGAACTGTTGAAATTTCAACCGAATTTCCAGTACGAATTTCAGGTGTTTCGCCTGGGCGATTGCAAATGCAGTCCAAATAAACATGGAACGGCATTCTTTATTGTTGTTGTTGTTGTTGCTGTTGGTTGTCATGTGAATTTTGGCAGCTGTATATGACTGCTAGGCAGACCAGACTACAGGGTGATGGGGGGCGTGGCTGTGGCTCATCTAACCAGGCGGTGCCAAAAGCGGTTCGCATTTCATATTTGCATTCCGAAACAACATTTTTAGGGTGGCTTTTGTTTGTCAAATGCAAATATCCAGCATTGTCTCTATCTCTCTCTCTCTCTCTCTCACTCTCACTCCCTGCCTCGTTCTATCCCTCTCGACTCTCGACTGTCTCTGCCGGTCATCTGCAGTTGTTTATTTGGCTGTCCACGTTTAGCCACAGCCGAAATTTGTTGATATGCTTTGCCTTTTGCACTTGCGCGTTCATTGAACGCTGAACGTGATCGTAATGCTCAACAAAAACAACTACAACAACAACTACAACAACAACAGTCACCATTGAAAATATTGTTATTATTAATTGTATATTTATATGGCCATAAAATGGAACTCAAAGACCTGCAAATGCACGCTCTAGCCTCAAATATTCACCATTTCCAAGAGAAATGCCAAAATGAGGAGATACCAAAGGAATTTTAATGTTTCAAGCATGAGTGAGGCGAGAAAATATGCAGAGAATATGTAATGGGAGTCCTTTAAGTTGACCTAAAATAAACTCATTTTGAGTTATTATTCCAGATTAAAGTGGATTATGGAAATGTTTAATAGTATCAAAAATTGAATCACTTAATTTACTAATTTAATTTATTATTTTTATTTATATAATTTATTAATTAATAATTTTAATACTTAGTATTTTCATTAGAATATATATCTAAGAAGAAGCTCTGAAGAGCGATATAAATAGGAGACAACGGAGTAAGTATATAAGTTGGGTAAGTATTTTGTATATTAAGTTCCATATCCTGAGATATCCTAGAATAAACATCTTCAAGTCATTCTATTAGCAGATCTAATATTTAGCTCTATATCTATGCATAAGGATACTGACCTCATGCTGAAAGCCTTTTAAGCTAGATTTCCAAATGAATTCAATAAAAAAGACCGCTTTAGTACTCTATATACCTAATACTATAGTTTTTTTATATTTTCTCTTTCTGCTTTCTGGCAATCTCTTCCTTCTTTGAGGACATAATCTTCTCTTCATTTTTGGTGGAAATCTTCTAAGCGTTTCATAACTCACTTATGCAGAACTAAAACCCTTCCGAATGGGTTAAGGTTTACGAAATAAATAATATAAAATTCTTCATTTTCCAGCTAAAATTATTAGTGTTGACAGTTGATGAGCTTAAACACATTTGAATTGAACTTTGACCCATTTGCGAATTTACTACGATATTTTATAGTGATTCCAACAGCTCTTTACATTTAACTGACTTGTGCATTCTCACCTGACAGAAGATGGCTAAAAGCAATATGAAAACGGCATCAGATATGACAGCAATGATTAGCAAAGCAAATGTAATTATTGTGCAAACACGAATTTAGAATTCGTAAAAGCCATTAACTGATAGATGAGTATGCAAATTATAGAGAATATATACGTATATATAGATAGGAGGTATTTGTAGCCGTTGTTGTTGTTGTTGTTGTTGTTGTTGCTGTTGAAGTGCATAAGAAACGTGGCTAATTGGCTTAGGCTTAGCTCAGGCTGAACTCAGCTCGTGTCGCTCGCGCTTATCAGCAATCAGAGAATGTTTCAATTTTTAACGGATATGCGGATATATCGATATGAATATCTATATTATGTATAGACAGACGCGACTAATTGAGCAGGGGCTGAAACTGAGACTGAGACTTACACTGAGACTGAGACAGAGGCTGACGTTTAGTCTGAGACTCTTGATCGAGTTGTTAGCCAAGTTACCAAGACACGTGATCAGACAGCTAAAAGCGCCCGCTGCACTCGTTTCTATGTCCGATGCATATTCGATTCAGTTCAGATCTCGATTGCGCTAAGTGACAGCTCTGGTCGTCGCAGAGGGTCAACATTGACAACGTCTGGCTTTAACAAGTTTTTTCAATTTTATTTTAATTTTATTTAATTTTTTTTTTTTTTTTTTTCTGTCAAGTGAATTTGGCTGAGCTTCAATGTTGTTGCTAATTGGAAACAAACCCCAGCACGAGTTATCTATTCTCTGCCTCCGCCTACTCCTCCCCCTGCTCTTCTTCTCCTTCTTCTTCTTATTCAACTGCCCTCAATCAGTTGGCGAGTCATCCGCTCTCTTGAACAACTGCGATACTTGATTGAAAATCCAGCGATTCGCATTAAAAATTTTGTTTATCGGTTTTTGTAGCCCAAAATGTTCCCTTTTGCATTAAAATGAATTTTGTAGTCGAGTGTAGCCGACTGTTTAATACCCGTTCAAGTTTTGCAATGTTGAATCTTTACTCTACGGAGCTGATGAGGGCATAAGAAATAGTTTGATAGCAAATGCGAAAACTAATATACCCCACTTTTACATTGTGCTGTGTGTGTATAAAAAAAATTTGTTTATTCATTTGTCGTCTGGTTTTTTTTGTTTTTTTTTTTTTTTTTTTTTCTTGTCTTTTTGGGCGAAAGCATTGCTCAAGATATTTCTGAGAAATGCTGCGCTAGTCACATATCGTTCAATATGAATTATGAATTGTATTGTTTTATGCGTATGTGTATATATGAAAACAAAAGTGCGTCTCATGATGCATCTGGGCGGGTCCTACGATGCGACCACAACACGTACCAAGAGCTAAAGCCAACAGAAGCGACACCTGGCTGAGCCAGACAAAGGTGGCTCAGACACGCAGCCGGCTAAAGTCAAGGTTAGTCTGCTCCGACTGCACATCGAGTGCCACATTCATAAAGAGACTAAGCAAACCGAACGGACGACCCAAGGTCATAATAACGGTAAATACTTAATGATTCATGATCACATTAAAAGAGTTTGAGCATTAATCGAATTTGAGCTAGTCAGAAAATAGAGCATTCTGATAAGCTTATCTTTACTGTTGTAGTGTCTCGATGAAGTGGAATAATGTTTTCTATAGCAATTACAGCGGATATATTGGTAGAAATTTATGATAGAATGTTTTCTATAAAATTTATAGCCGAAATATTGGTAGAAATTTATGATAGCTAAGAGACAAATAAATGATATAATGCGGTGCTCTTCATACGGTTCAGAAATAAATACTGATGTATGCCTTATGACAGTTGTCCTTAATTGTTCTACTTATACAATATTCTGCTTTCTCTTCTTTACTTTCTATTGTAAACTAGAACGAAATTCTCATTTTCAAAACAATAATTAAAAATTAATCCTTGATTGCAAATGGCCAAATAGATCCCCTGAAAGTATGCTTAGCAAATCAATGGAACAAATGGAAATGAAACAAGCGCAAGGCACGTTTCACTGATATTTATGCTGCCCTTAACTAATATTCTCAGCTCGTTTGAGCATTACAATAGAACTTTCAGAGCGATAGATCTATTTAAAAATTTCTATTAATTCTTTTATTCCATTTATTTATAGCTCTTAGTTTCAGCTAATATTCTATATATGTTTAAGAGAAGAAAAAAAAAGGATTGGCTTTTGATTTGTGGCATTTGATTTGTCAAGTTGATTTCCTGGTTGCATTATTCATTGCAACTAAAGAGCTCGATTTATGTCGCATTTGTTTCATTTCCATATTGTTCATTTGCTCTTTGCGTTACAAAGGAGCAATTAAATGCAAAGAAAAGTAAACAGCAGGAGGTGAAAGAAGAAGAAGCAGCAGCAGCAGCAGCAGTAGCAGCAGCAGCAGCAGTAGCAGCAGCTGCTGAAGAATGGGGACATTCCTGCACGTTTCAATACGTATAAATCAAAACATAAGAACAATATAAAATGAAATTTAGCTGCGACAATAACAGCAGCAACAACAACAACTGCAACAACAACAGCAGCAGCAGCAAAGCGAACCAATTGAGACTTTGAAACGGCGCGCATATCAAATGATTCAGCTCATCATGAACTTCGAGACGAGGCAGATAAACGAGAGAGAGAGTGGGCGAGCGAAAGAGATAG